AAGAAAAATGGAAAAAGGCCAAAAAAAGGAAAAAAAAAAGCCAAATTTATTTTGAACTACACGAACTTTTGTCATTAATAAAGGGTGAATAACTTAATATTAGATGCTAGTTTTCTCGTTTAATAGTATTTTTTTTTTTTTTAACATTTAGTCATGGCCGGCTCGAACGGTTACTTTTGAAGAGAGATATAAACCTTATAATAGTAATTAAAGTCACTTGACCTTATGGGCCAAGTTACTCATTTAATAGTTTTTATTTTATATTTTTTATAAAATTTTAATAATTAAAAATCAAAACTTATAATTCTTTTTCTATTTTTAGTATTTATATAAGATTAATCAAAAATTTAAATCTCACCAACTATTCGAATATTCAACCTACAACTTATTGGTGTTTTTTCCGGTACATGGACTTACCCATTCTCTTTCTCTTTTCCCCTGTAATTACCCTTGTAAAAAAAAAAAAAAAAACTCAAAATAAAACCACACAATAATAATGTGATTCCTTTTGTTTTGTACCAGATTATACCAGCATTTCCCATTTCTCTATGGGCCCAAGCTCAAAGCGATGAAGGGCTTGAGGCCCAAACTTATCAAAGATTTTATGGTTTTTGGTTTTGGGCCAACATTTTCTTTTTCTTTGTATTTATTTATTTATTTATTTTCTGTTTTCTCTTTATAATTGTGATTTTTTTATTTTTCCTTTCGTCCTCAACACCTTCACCATCCATCCGTCGGGCCTTTTTTTTTATTTATTTCCTGATTGGTTCTTGCTACCTACAGATCTAGTATTTTTGGAATTTTCAAGCATGATATATACTGGATTCTCTCAAATTTCATTTACTATTTTTAGGTTTTCTGTTTGCCACAATTTCCATTTTTAGTTTCAATTGGAGATATTAGGCAATTTCTGACATGCTAGGCAGGTTCATCTTCCCATTCTGATACTTCCTTGGATGCAAACAAAGAGACACCATTCTCTGTTTGGCAGATGAGAAACTAACTCATTATCTCGCATAACAGCATAAAACAAGTCTGTTTTAATAAAATTTTCATAGAGTTTACAAGAACATGGAAATTATATAGGAAGAAAGAAGGATAGAAGAATGAAATCTGATTCCCTTAATGGAACTTGAGGCTAGTCAAGATGTTGTTGTTGACAGGGTCAGCAAGGTGATCCAGAAGGTTCTGGTACGGCCCTTCTCCGGTGACGAGTGCCTGGACGAAATACCCCAAGATTGCCAACATTGCCAGTCTTCCGTTCTTCACTTCCTTCAGCTTCAAATCATTCATCGACTTCTCGTCTTTTCCCAACCCAAGCGGGTTAAATAAAGGTCCGCCTGGGTAGATAGGGTTTCCGGACCCTCCCAGCCACTTCTCCAGTCCTAAGAAGTACTGTTTCCCCATGGATCCCGGATTGGCCCAGTCTTGGAATCTCCTGTGCTCTGCGAATCCCATGAGGGCCATTTCGAAGACGAAGAGTGTGTAAGGGTCAGCCCAGTAATCATATGTTCCGGCCGGTGGGATCACCCCAGTTTTGAACCAGGGGAGAGCTGTTTCTTGAGGGATCAGGCCGGCCTTTCCGAGAATCTCCGGTGCAATGGCTCCGACAGCACCCATCATGGCGTAGCGGCCGTTGATGACCTCACCGTATGCTAGCCATTTTGGCTCGATGAACCCTCCTGGGCCCTCTGGGTCAGAGAGTCCCAGTGGGTCAAACCCATAGTCACCTGGTAAGCTGCAAAATCCACACCAAAATTCAACTTTGAACCCTTCTGAAATGAGATTCATTTAGCTCAAAACCAAAGGTTTGAACTTTGAAGAACGTTACCTGCCATCCAAGTAGGTAAGGCTTTGTTTTGATGCAAACCACAACTGTCTATCTGCTCCTTGCTGAAACCCACAAAATTTGGGGAAAAAAAAAAAAGTAAGATAATTAGAACCCATTTGGGGGAATCTGATTTCAGGAGAGAGGAGAAATCAATGGAGGTAGAAATAAGACCTTAACAGGGGGAGTGGAAGTTGCCCTGACAACAAAGGATGCTTTCCTTGAGGACCCAACATGGGATTGGGAAGGTCTGGCTCCAAATATTTGTCTGGCAGTCTCCACTGAAGAGCTCAGAGAGGATGAAACCAGGGCTTGGGTTGCCATTTTCGCTGCCTTGTGAATGAGGGAGGAGGAGTTTCAGGGTTCAATAAACTGAGGCAGGAAAACAAGGTGCAACGGGCGCCACAATTTTGTGGGCTTGAAAATCTTCCGTGGATGACTGGAGAGCCTAAGTTTGTGTCTATGGATCAGGTTACGATCTGGTTGTCCAACACGGAGTTCACACGTGGATAAGAGATTTGCCTTGGTGATATGGAACTGACAATCTGACACGTCAGCAACTCAATGCCACGTGGCAAGCCCTCCACCAACAATCTTACTCTTGTTTGCCTCCATGATCCTCAAAAAATCTGAGATATCATACTAGACCAACACCACAAAATTTTGATTGGAAATTGTTTTTTTCTTTTAACTCAAAAAATAAAAATAAAAAGTTTTGCAAATCAAGTGCTCATAGTTACTGAACACTAACCATCTGATTAGGGAGTAGTGGGATCTCCTAATTGTTGGGACAGGATTAATTTGATGCTCAATCTGTGTTTTATTTGAGTTACAAAATCAATTAAGAGGGAGAAACCATAGAGACAAGTATTTCCTCGATGACTTTTTTGACATTAACTTGATTCTTGAAATTCATATAAATAAAGTGCCATAGTGCCGACACTAATTAAATACTATCAGAAGACACTGCAAAGAACTGGAGGAAGCTCCATATTGTATCAAGTAGCTACTCAATCCATGTGCTCTCTTATTGGACAGCTTCTCTACACTTACCGAGCATGCTTATTCTACGGAATAGAAAGCCTAGATTGAAAAACATAGTGTACAACTAATTGACATTGCTCAGTTCGGAAAGAAAACTAAGATACATTACTACATTTCAAGGGTTACCACAGCGACAGTTAACAAAAACTTAAAGAACTGAGGCTGAAGGATAGTTGGAAGAGTTCCAAATCTTTAAGATGGGGCGCCAAGATATGAAGCCAGGCGCAATATATCACTGAATATTCCACCAGCAGTCACCTGTGCACCAGCACCAGGTCCACGTACTATCAGAGGTTGCTTCTCATACCTCTTAGTTGTGAATGCTATGATATTATCAGAACCGGAGAGCTGTGCAAACGGGTGCTCTTTCTTGTATCTTCGCAGCTGCACATTCCCCTTTCGGTTAACAGCATCCACCACGCCAACATATCTCAAGACCTGCCAAAATTTAAATAGAATTAACATACCAACTACCCAAAATTAAGCAGCAAACGGAACCTACATTTTTGTTGCGATCAGTCACGCAAGAATTATCTTCATTTTAGGGGATTTTATTTTTGGCCAACTTTATTTTGGGGTGATGGATTAGCTCATCCAAGAGGAGAAAATTGAGATTTCCCGAATACCCATACCCATCTAGTTTTTGCATTTGGCCTAATTGCCTAGGATATATATTAACCACTAACATCTCCATAAACCTAATCTCTTCATTATTATTAGCAATCAGAATTCCGTCACTCTAACACTACATGAAAAAAAGCACCAAAAAGGACTTACTTCCCCTGCTTCTTCTGCTTCCTTTCTCTCCTTAGCCCAATCTTGGTCAAATAATTGTAATTGCTTCATAAATTCTTCAGCAGATGCACTAGCCTGAAGAGAATAAAACATAATATGACATCATAGGTAAACGTGTTTCTTGAGCTTAGTATTTCTTCGACAGATGAATACTCATTCTTACTCTCAGTGGTTCTGGCACCAGACTTTGAATGGGGATATCTGAAAGTTCCAACTTCAAACCAGATTCTCTAGCAAGAATTATGACCTGCAGAATTGAAGCAGAATTATGAGCCAAATCTTAGCTAACTACATCGAACCTGAGAATATGACAAATGTTTAATTTGCTAGAAATGGCAATACAAGCCATCATGCCTATTTTTACTGGAAGATAAAATATTAAATCTTTCTATAGACTGCATTTTGACTGCTAACGGTACTAGCTGGAGAGAGCTTGCGAGGCTCACTATGGAATATAATTGGACTACATCAGTAAAAATGAATTAAAATCATTTGAAGACTACCAAAATGCTCCATAAATTAGGAATCCAAGCCTCCAATGCAGTCCTGCTACTGGCTACTCAAAAAATACTTTACTGAAAAACTCTTTACCCGACAGTCAAGTAATTGGCCACATGAAGGAGAAAACATATTCAACATTATTAACTTCTCTTCCTACTTAACTAAAAGAGAAAAGAAATACAGTCTACCTTTCTTGCCACATCCATTCCTGAGAGATCATCTCTAGGGTCCGGTTCAGTATAACCTGCCCCCTTGGCCTCTGCTACCACCTCACTGAAAGATCTAGTCCCAATGAAGCTGTTGAAAATGTAACTCAAAGTCCCACTGCACCAGCAAATCAGAAAGTTATGGCTTTATTTTAAAGGATAAATTACGGAGAAACCAACATCAATCAAAATTTTATATCATTTTCTGTCAAATAACAATCATGATTCACCTGAAAATTCCCTCAATGTGCAATATTTTATCCCCAGTTTCTAGGAGACCTCGTAAAGTGCTGACAATTGGAAGACCAGCTCCAACAGTTGCTTCATAGAAGTAATGCGTGTCGGATTTCCGCTGAAGAGCTCTTAGCTTTAGGTACTATATAGCAGACAGAAAACACATCAATGAGGCTGAAATGAACGTTCAGTAAAACAAAGTGCAAGCATTAGAATGCAGCAATTACTGTTACCTGATCAAGGGGTCCAGAATTTGCCCTTTTGTTTGGAGTGATTACATGAATTCCTTTCCGCAACCAATCATGGTAACAGCTTGCAACATTAGAATCTGCTGTACAATCCACCAAAACAGTGTTTGGAATAAAATGATTTCCATGCACATGTTGTGTGAATTTTTCCAGACTTGCCACTTCTCCTTTCCCCTTCAGAAGTTCTCTCCATTGTGATAAGTCAACTCCCCTACCAAAAAGGAAAAAAAAAAAAGTGTTATGAAAGTATAAGAAGTCTGAAATAAAACATCTTCAGCCAAATCCATCAACAAAATGGAGAGGTGCGTTTCCAAACCAGTCATTAGCAGCAAAGGGGTCAATAAAACAAAATATTTTCCTCCAAGGAACTTATAAGTACTAACCCTTTGTTTAATTGTTTGTTTTGGTCAAAACTTATAAAATCTCGTGTCTTTATTTCATGTATGTTCTCAACATGAAAACAAAAGCAGCCGTGCCTATGTAAATAAGTATTCCCAGCACTACATTGCAAAGGTAAGTTGATTAACTTACACATCACTTAAGAGCATTGTCCTGGAGCCAGTGATCCCCATAACACGTAAATCAATGTTAAATTCTTCCTTCAGGACTGCTGCCTGGCCAAAGAAATTTAAAACTTGTTGAGGTTGAAGTATCAAAGACAATTAGCTTCATAAAGTTAAATACAATTTTTAAGTTGCATGTTTGGATGATGAGACGTGCAACATTTTAGACCCAGTAGACACTGCCTTTACTCCAGAGCTAACTCACTGCAAGCTGTGACATGTGGGCATGACTAAAAATGTTTGCAGCCCTCGAAGGACTAAGGAAATCCAGGAGTACTTCATTTCTGCCTACAGCAATGTGAATACATGTAGAAAACAATAAATGGATAACAGTCTCTCTAATACTTCACCTGATCTCTGAGCTGATCAAGTAATGTGCCACCGATTAATCCAGGACCAATTATCCCCATAGCTATGGTTGTTCTTGAATGATAAAACCTTGAATGGACAGCTGTCAAAGCCCGTATGCAATCTTCACGCTTGATAACAACAGTAATATTATACTCAGAGCAACCTTGAGCTATAGCTCGAATGTTAACATTTGCCTGTGTTGCAATTTGGAAAATAAAATAAAAGTAGAGAATATAATTAGATTTAAAGTGGAAAGTACTTAAAAATTGGGAAAACAGAAAAAGAAAAAAAGAAAAAAAGAAGAAAAAAGAAGCAACACTTATTTTTTTTCTCTGGCCTGAAGCAATACTTATTTGAAATGATTGACAAATTGTCTTACTTTTGCCAAAGCATTAAAAAGGGTCGCGCTTACACCAGGAGTACTGGCCATTTTCTGGCCAACTGTCGCCAAAATGCTACAGTTAGGAATGATTGCAACCTGAGAAGATCATGTTTGCGTGAGAAAATTATTGTAGACAAAGAGATCCTACTAAATTATGCATAATAAGAATTGATAAATCAGACCATCTTGAGATGACCAAAAAGAAAAGCTTTAAATAGAGCTTCAAAATATAGATTTTAAGATCAGGAAACAGACTAAGCAGATTATAGTTTTCTATGATATTTAATAATTTCAGAAGCCTGGAAATGAAATTTGACATGCATTTTACAGTTGAAAATATAAAGTACAGAAAAACAACTTGTTTAATTGCTTATTTAAAGCATATCCAATAAAATCACGATAAAAGATGATATTCAACCAGTTCAATGCTAGATTATATCCAAGGAATAGTTTATATAAAAAAGGATCTTGATATCCTTTTCCTCATGCAGAGTCATAAATTCAGACTTCTCGATAAGATCTGTACAAAAGAATGAACAGATAATCAACAGATAGAACTCAACCCTGAATTACAGCTCTGATCCCCCACTGCTATGCAATTGGTCAAGACAGTGGGGATGCTTTTGGCCTTCCAAAACTCAAAATTTTATCCTGAACATCAGCAATAACCAACTGTACAATCTCAGATTCTGGACGAAACAACGATTGATGTATATGCCGATGGCATTCAAACGAGATATGGTAAATTGTAGCATTCCACGCCAGCTTGATAAGGGAATTATAAAGAACCCTCCTCTTGCTTTTCTTTTTCATCCATCCATTGCACCAGTGGCATCAAAGATGTAATAAATGGAATGCTAGCCCTGTCAGATATCTCTCTCCAAATGCCAGTAGAGAAAGAACATGCAAAGAAAAGATGGTCCCATGTCTCACTTGCCTTGTTGCATAGCATACAGACATCATTGATCTGAGCAGACCACTTCTTTTGCCTAGAGCATGTGGACAGTCTATCAAGTAAAGCCAGCCAAGTCACAAAACTATGTCTTGGTCTTTTGTGTCCTATATGGAAAACCATTGTCTTAGGATACTGTTATTAATTTTACCTTTTTGCTTCACAATAAATATCAGCATGATAATAAGAAGCTGATCATGTAGTTTTGAAGCTGAAGTAAACTGTCTCCTCCACTGGTACACCTGGGAGGTTCTATTTTCATTTTATTTTTTGAGAAAAGCAAATGAGGGAACAAGGAAGTTGGGAACTCTGAGTTCCTTAAATCATTAACAGTTTACCACTACAATCATTCCCACAAAATTTTTGAGAAATCAAAGAAATCAATCGGCCTTAATTGGACAGATTAACTATAATGGTATGTCATACTTGTCAGAGAAGAAAGTCCAGAAGGAATAAACCTATGAAAAGCACCTGAGAAAGACGTCCAGCATCCAAAGCCTGACGAAATCTAGATTGTAGGGCCTCAGCAACTGCTTTTACTTCCTTCTCAGGCACAGCAAAGCACACAGAATGCTCACTACTGGCCTGCATTAAGTTTAGAACTCAGCAATAAATACATATGATATAACAAGTACAATTACTGAAATTAGACAATGGCCGCACCACAGATATCATAATGACATTAGCTCCCACGTCTTTCACAGCACCAAAAATAGCACTAGCTGTACCAGGAACACCAACCATTCCAGTTCTGCAATAAGGAAATTAGCACATGGCATATACATCTCATAGAAAGCAATAAAAACAAATTGGCACTAAAAGGGGAATTAAATGCTGTAGAAATTGCAACACAACACTCACCCCTCAACATTGATTAGTGCCAAATTGTCTATTGTTGCAAACCCTTTAACAGGAGACTCCACAGTCTTATCATCTTCATCTTCAGTCATGGCACGATGGCAGATTGTTGTCCCAGGATCAGAGAGATTGAAAATGTTTCTTATTACAATTGGAATGTTATATTGCATTACTGGAATAATAGTGCGGGGATGTAAAACGTTTGCCCCAAAATATGACTGCATGGTCAAATAAACACATGTTAGAAAACTCTAACTAGCAAATTCCAAGCAACTTTGACAGGCATGATAGGGTAACTGAAATTTACCATTTCCCATGCCTCTTGATAAGACAGTGTCCTTAGTATCACAGCATCACTAACTGCAGAAAGATGTGTTACTTTAGCATTACAGCCAAGACACAAGTTCTGTTGGACAAAACTCTAAACTAGATATCCTCCAGACATTTGAGTGATTTTACACACAACCTACACAGGGAAGATATATTGCCCCTCACCCCCAATAAGGCAGTGTTTTGAACTACAAGCATGAAACAAACAAGCCACTGAAGGCAGTGCTTCAAAATACAAAAAGTCTAAAGAAGATATCCCCCAAGATCTAAAGGGCTGTTAAGGACAATAATATGAAATTGAGAGTGTTTCAAACAAAAAATATAACATTTTGACCTATAAGGGACCAAACCTTTTCGAGGGTCTGCACTGTATACACCATTAACATCTGTCCAAATTGTAACTTGACGAGCCCTGAATAGAGCACCCATTATAGCTGCAGAAAAATCACTTCCATCCCTCTTCAAAGTTGTAGGAATATTTTGAGGCGTGCTGGCAATGAAACCAGTTGCTACTATAGTCTTTGATGGATTTTGAGAGAACCACTTTTCAAGTCTTCTTTCAGATTCCAAGAAATCAGGATCAACTTGATTAGAGCTAGTAGGATTCACAATGAGCACTTCCCTTGTATCCATCCAATTGCAGTCGATCCCATTCTTCATCATCTCCAATTTAATAATACTTCAGAAATATTCCAAAGTTTACAATACCAGGTAATAGTAGCAATGAAATGATCAACATACCTTCCTAATAACAGATGACAACATCTGCGCAGACCATAACTCCCCATGTCCCACAACAAAATCCGTAAAAGATTCTGTTGCATGACCAGCTAAAAATAAAAGAACAACATGCATCAAATTATCATACAAAATCCTAGATCCATATATACCCAATTAAAACATGCCCTTTTTCACCACTGCAAGTTCAGTGGATAAAGAGAAGGAAGAGACAGGAAGGCAAGTAAGAGAATTTTCTGTTACCAATGTAAATTGCTCGAATCATTGCTTTAAGGTTATTAACATCATGATGCAGCCGGGATAAAAAACTAGCAAGTTCATCTCCGTCAAGAAGATCATGTGCTGTTAACCTGTGCTTTTCTAAAACAGCATCCAGTGCAGAAACATAGGAATCATCTCGTGATTGTGCCTTGAAGATCAGGTCATACATCATATCTGTCACCTTTGACATTGCCGACACAACCACCAACTTCCTTTCTGAATCATCATTAATGATTATATCTGCAACATTCTTGATCCTTTGAGAGGTCCCAACACAGGTTCCACCAAACTTATGAACAGACCACACGTCGCCTCTGGGAAGATTAACTTCTTCAGTCGATTTCACAACTGACATATCTGCAAACATGAAGGTTCAAACAGATGGAACTATAATCTAAATTTGCAAATTAGAAGTGCTGGATAACCAATCATCTGAAACTTCAAAAACAACCTGTTACTGAAGCTTCAACACGGATCGTTGATGAAATCCTTTTCCCACGCTGTGAAGCTAAAGTCATTCTAAAACAAAAAAACAAGCATTTGATTAGAATAAAACAAGATAACTGGAAATTTTAAAACAGAGCTAGAAACAGGGAACTACAAGCTTCAAAAACAGTATAAACAGTAGAGATTCAATAAACTCAAAGGGACTCGCTAGCTTTACTAGCTAATCCCACTTTCTCAGGAACCAAACGGAAAATGAATGCACTTAATATAACAATAAATTAATCGCAAAGCAAGTAAAGTAGAGAGTTAAAGAGAGATCCGTTTGCATTCCTAGGCACCTGGAAAGAGGGAGGCGTTGAAGGTGAGAAAGCGAGCGGCATTCAGAAGGCAACGTACAGATCTGCCATTTGGTTGTAGTTCCGGACGCGAATGCGGTGGCCGGAAGAATGCGTGGGGAGTAGTAGGAGACGGCCGCCGAGAAAGCCATGGTATCCGTGACTGCGAAAGCCAAAGCACGCGGATATTCTTTTAGGGGGCCAAGCTCGCAGATTATCAGTGACCTGCGGCGCTTTGCCTGAGACACTCCTTCATTTGGCGGCTTGTGCTACAATTACGCACAGTCATCATTAATCAAAGAAAATATATATATTATAATATGTAAATTTTTAAGTAAAAAAATATTAATTGAATCTAATTTTTTAGCACCGGCACTTGAGGCTTAATGACATAATCACGGTGCATTTCTCTTTTCTTTACAGGGTTTAAAATCTGTCTTTGTAAAATACGTTTAAAAAAAAAAAGAAAAATTGAATCAAATTTTTATGTTAATAATTTTTTTTCTAAATTTTAATAATTAAATTTAATTAATTGAAAGTTGGATTTCATTAATTATTTTTAAAAAAATTTCATTCTCCATAATTCTTTTATATTCAAAAACGTAAAAATAATTAATTATATTATATAATAATAAAATAATTATAAATTTGTACTGTTGGAAAAGTGACTGTTCGTAAAGAAATGAAGTTGATGGCGACGGAGATAATTGACTGAGATGTAAAAGGAGTGAAAAGCAG